GTTGCGGTTCGTTGCCGGACACGAAAAAAGACAAAAATAAATAAATAAAAAATAAAATAAATAAAAAATAAATAAAAAATAAAAAAAAAAAACAAATAAAATTCAAAACCATGCAGAAGTAGACTATGGTGTTTAGAAATATATGGCTTTGAAATAAAAAATAAATAAAAAATAAAAAATAAACAAATAAAATTCAAAACCATGCAGAAGTAGACTATGGTGTTTAGAAATATATGGCTTTGTTTTCTTAGGAAAGAAAAAAATCATTTGCTAATAGTGATGATTTTCCTCCTTGTTTCTAACACTTTCACCTCTGATTTCTTTCTAGTTATTCACTTTGAGTATCTGCAGTCATTGTGCATGAATTTTTTAGGACATACCATCAAGTTTACAGAAGTGTCTCCCATATTCAGGGTTGGACAGAGTCCTCGGGCAGCTGCAGTCCCTGTCCCTGGCCTGCCCCACCAACACTGCTCTTCTGGCCCCAGGGCCTCATGTTGACTGACCATCTGTCCCCTGCCTGAGTGACCTCAGCCCCACCCCTGGCTCTAACCACCGCTGCCCCCCCTGGGTTCAGGCCCACCAGTGTGTGGGGAGCTGACCACAGCTGCCAAGGCCCAGGCAGCCAGCCTTGGTTGGTTGGTTATCTTTATGGCTTAAGTCACACTTGGGCTCCACCTATTATTGAACCACGTCCTCTTGAGGACAACACCTAGAAGGTGAACTGGGAGGGGAGCTCTTGATTTCCGCTACATCTCTGTGGTGCATGCAAGCTTTTTGCCCACAGGAAACACGATCCCACTGGTAGGGGGGCTGTCCCTGCTGCTCTCTGTCCCCCAGACCCCAGCCTCTAACTTCTCCATATTCCTTACCTACTGAGAGCTGTTACTTCCCAGCAGCTGGGTCCAAACACCTCCCTTCCCATTTTAAAGACTCCAGGATTCAGAAAATCACAAACCAGAAATTTCCATGTTAGGTTTGGGGGGAAGGGTTTATTAGCAGTATTCTCTTATTTGCCCCCCAAATTTTAAAAAAATGTTCAAAAAGGAAAACACCCACATAAACCAGTCTCCTTCCCCAAATCTTGCTCTGAAGAAGGAACTTCTAGAAGCCAGCCATCTCTGTAAGCTCCTCTTCCTGTCTCCCTTTTTCTCAATTAATGAAGCAAATATTTGTTGATCATTTTGCCCCTTCTTGGTGTCCTGGAGGCACCAGAGGAGACGAAGGGGCAGTTGCCAAGACAGGAAGCGCAGGTGCAGTGTGGGGACCCAGGGGTAGGGGGGAGGCGCTCTGCAAAGCTGCCTTCTGGAGCCCAGGGGTGTCTGAAATGCCCTGCGGGGCCGGTTCCACAGTGTCGCCAGAAGGGAGACACTCCTGGTGGCTTCCCAACCTCCCCTCCCTCTCCCCATGCCCTGCGGGGAAGGCCTTGTTGACATTTTGCAGAGGCAGCTCAGAGCAGGTAAGACCCTCACTGGAGGTCGCAGATAGTTAATGAAAGCACTGCGGGGGACCAATCCTGGCCGGGTGACCTTGGACAGGTCCATCACCTGCCTGTGGGTTTCCTTATCTGTAGGATGGGGGCATTAATAATATCTACGCCAGGAGCTCATAGTGAGGATTAAAGGACAGCCAGGCAGAGGCACAGAGCAAACATGCAGTCAGCACCAGCTGCTGTGGTCTGGCTGCAAAGACTTCCTTCCTGTCCCTCTGCGGAGTCCCCGCTCTTCTGGCCTCACCCAACTGACTAGCAGATGGCCTGTCTGAATGAGTTTCAATGACTTGTCCAAGGCCAAACAGCTCTCAAGTGGCACGCAAAGGACTCAACTTGCAGAAAGGGGCTGGATGGACTGAATTGTGGGTCCTTTTTCCTGCCGTGTCCCCCACCCTCCTCTGCCCCAGGGAAGGCTGGGGCTGCTCTGTGAAGACAGGGAGGGCCCACCCAGGGGCGTGTCTGGGAACCTTAAAGAATCACACGGGTCCCCAGGCCTGGGTCAGGGAGGTTGATGGTGCGGGGTGGGGCAGTCCAGGGTGCACTCATAGAAGTGTCAGTTCCAGCCCAGGGTGGGGATGGCAGCCACCCTGCAGACCCCAGATGCTGGCTTCTAACCTGCAAGTGCCTCCACTCCTCAGCCTTGCCCACCTCAGACCCCCTTTGGTTCTGAGCCCAGGCCTGGGTCCAGCTCCTCCCCACCCATGGAGGCCCCAGCATGACCTCTGACCCCGTGTTTTCCTGTGGCCCGACCCTGGCCTTCTGGCCTCTGGTTGGGGTCAAATCCCGGGGCAGAAGGGTGGTCGTGAGCACACAGCCCCTCCTCAGCCCCATCACCCACCTCCCCAGGTGCCCTCCATGGTGCCCTTAGTTCTGGGCTACTGACCCCTTGTTCCCTTGCCCCCCTCAGGACAGAAGATCTGGTTCTGGGGCCACTTTACCTTTTCAGGCCCGACCTGGGCCAGACGCAGGTGGGAGTGGCAGGGGAAGCGGGATTGCTTCTGCATAACAAAGGGCCGGGCTGCCCTCCCGCCTGTCCGCAATTCAGCCCATTGTAAAAAGTCTCCTAGTCCACACTGGCCTTTTTCTTTTGGCCTCCGGGTGGGGTTGCCAGGTTTTGCAAATCTAAATATAGGACTCTGGTGAAATGCACATTTCACATAAACAATGAATAACTTTTTAGTATGTCTCAAATGGCATGTTATGTTTTATCTGGCAACTCTAATCCTGACCAATTGCCCAATTATTTTATTTCCCCAGCAAAACTCTAACCAGCTCATAAATCCACATTCAGGTTGGAGGGCCTGTGTCTTGGGGAAGCCTCAGGACACTGGGGGATTGTCCTCTGCCCCCACCCAGACCTGATCACCTGGACTGAGTACACCTGACTCTCTGCGGGAAGTGGGGTGCAGGGGAGGACTCAGCTGTAAATGGTTTGAGGGTGTTGAAAGAACTCTGGGCTGGGCATTAAAGACCTGACTTTCTGTGGACGTTGATTATTAACTGTGTGAGCTTGAGGAAGTTGTCACCTCTCTGAGCCTTAGTTTTCTTGGCTCAAAAATTGGGGGACAGGGTAAACTAGATGGTCCTTTCAACTCTAAACTCTGGTCTTCAGACGGCAAGGAAGAGGGGGTGGATGGGGCTGTTATTGGACAAAATCCCATTTGGCGCTAAATGCTCCCAGGCTCCCACGTCTAGACGATCCCCCCAGAACGTGGGAAACTGCGGGCCTCCCAAGCATGGTCCACCAGCCCAGGGTCTCATCGGCCCCCAGGAGCCCTCAGCACTGGCCCAGGTGCTCATCCTTGCAGGCAGGATCGGTCCTGGAGTTAACTGGGCAGTTCCAGTTCCTGCCGAGGGTTTGGTCACAGCAAGGAACAGAAGTCTAGCTCTGAAACCAGCAGCTGGGGGCCTGGGCCTCTAGCAGAGCTTGAGATCCCCACGTCTGCTCCTGGGAACGCACTTTTCCATTGAACGGGTCAGGCACCCCCAGCTGAGGCAGAAGCTCATGACCATTCTTCAGAGGGCAGCAGTCACTTCCACGGTCCAGACAGCCCTTTGTGTCCTTTCTAGACGGCCCCTCCTCAGGGCTCGTGGGCCTGTCTACTGCTGAGCTCCCAGGAGGTCCGAGGGGTGTGACCTCCCTCCCTCCCTCCCCCCCACCACCCCAGACCAGCTCAGGGCCGGCTATAAAGCTGGCCCGACCCTGGCTCTCAGCACACCCAGCTGGGCCTGAGACCCTCCTGGAGCCCCCTTGGGGACACGTCGCTGTGCTTCACCCTCCTCCCGAGCATCTCCATGTGGCCCCTGTGGCTCTGCTGGGCACTCTGGGCGCTGTCCCTGGCTGGCCCCGGGATGGCCCTGACCGAGGGGCAGGTCCTGGGCAGTCTGCTGCAGCAGCTGCACCTCAGCCAGGCGCCCATCCTGGACAAGGCCGACGTGGGGGAACTGGCCATCCCCGCCCACGTGAGGGCCCAGTACGTGGCCCTGCTGCAGCGCAGCCACGGGGACCGCTCCCGTGGGAAGAGGTTCAGCCAGAACTTCCGAGGTGAGGCCTCCTCCCTGGGCACCTGGTCCTGGGGGGCTGTGGGAGTGGACCGGTGTGGCAACTCTGGTGGGGTCAAAGGGCCCCCGGTTTGGTGGGGCTCTGGGGGGAGGCCACCAGGGGGTGCATGGGCCATGGTCACTGAGGAGGGACCACGGCCTGGGAGGAGGGCTGGGCCTGGGCCCCTGGTCTCGGGCTGTGCACTGAGGGTCCCACCCCCCAGGTGCCAGGCCCGGGCACCAGAGGAGGGCAGAGGCAGGAGGGCAGAGCCAACGGGAGGGTGGCAGGACCCGGCTCAGCCTCAGAGTGCCGGGGGCAGTTGGGGCGTGTCAGGGTCATTTTCACACGGCCACCCTGGTCTGAGCCTGACCCTGATCAATGACCGTATCATTACCTCTCAACCTCTTGGTCACCTGGAACAGTGGTGTGACTACGTGTTATCCACCTCCCAGTGTTGTGGACATTAAAGTGAGTTATTGTGGATAGAAATGTGTTTGGTGACGAAAGTACCGAAGCAACACCTGAGTTACTCATCCGTCAGGGATGTGACTGGGCCCGGCTCCTACTGCAGCCTCTCACCTCCCCAGGGCTGGGAATCACCTCCCCGGTGCCCAGAGCTCCACCCACACCCATCCTGGGCTCCAGCCATGGAGGGTGCCTGGAACATGCTGGTCCCGAACAAGCAGCAGAGGTGACTGCTGGTGGCAATGTGGCTGGCTGGTCAGGTGATCCCACGGCCAACCTGGAGCTTCAGGTGTGAGGTGCCATGGACTGGTGCCTCTGAAGAGGGTGTGACACATGTCCCCATCATTTAGCGCAGGGCTCAGTAGCCCTGAAAAACTGGTTTACAGGGATCTGGCTCCTGTTCCTCCTTTGGGGGACACTTCACTGCACAGAGCCCCCTCATCAGCAAGGGTAATGAGAGTCAACTCAGGGCTCCTCCTCTGTCCCCTAAGAAAAGCCCAGCTCAGCCGGTGAGCACAGATTTCCATTTGCTGGGTTGTCTGCCACTGTCCCCATTCCCCTCCCATCTTGGTCCTGTCCCCTCTGCCTAAAGAGGGCTGCATTTCTGTACACCTGAAGCCCCAGTCCTTTGCACAGGGACCCAAAGCTGCCCCAACCAACTGAGGGTGGAAGTTGCTAGTGAATGAGCCCCAAGCCCTGTGATTGTTTGGGGACACGGGCCTGACTGCAAGTTTATTGACCGGGGGTTGGAGATGCTGTCCCCTCCTGCCCCACCGTCTCCCAGCCCCCCAGTTCTCCCTGTGGATTACTGGGGAAATCATGGTCATCGGCCCTGGGCCCTGCCACCCTCAGAGCTCCTCTGGTGCAGGGAGGGCCCCGCTGACCCTGCTCGTGTCCCCAGAGGTGGCCAGCAGGTTCCTGGTGTCCGAGGCCGACACGCACCTGCTGGTGTTCAGCATGGAGCAGCGGCTGCCGCCCAACAGCGAGCTGGTGCAGGAGCTCTGAAACCAGCAGCTGGGGGCCTGGGCCTCTAGCAGAGCTTGAGATCCCCACGTCTGCTCCTGGGAACGCACTTTTCCATTGAACGGGTCAGGCACCCCCAGCTGAGGCAGAAGCTCATGACCATTCTTCAGAGGGCAGCAGTCACTTCCACGGTCCAGACAGCCCTTTGTGTCCTTTCTAGACGGCCCCTCCTCAGGGCTCGTGGGCCTGTCTACTGCTGAGCTCCCAGGAGGTCCGAGGGGTGTGACCTCCCTCCCTCCCTCCCCCCCACCACCCCAGACCAGCTCAGGGCCGGCTATAAAGCTGGCCCGACCCTGGCTCTCAGCACACCCAGCTGGGCCTGAGACCCTCCTGGAGCCCCCTTGGGGACACGTCGCTGTGCTTCACCCTCCTCCCGAGCATCTCCATGTGGCCCCTGTGGCTCTGCTGGGCACTCTGGGCGCTGTCCCTGGCTGGCCCCGGGATGGCCCTGACCGAGGGGCAGGTCCTGGGCAGTCTGCTGCAGCAGCTGCACCTCAGCCAGGCGCCCATCCTGGACAAGGCCGACGTGGGAGAACTGGCCAT